GAGGAAATTGGTTTTTGATTTTGTTGTTGAATAGAGGGTGGGTATTGTTGAGGTAATGAATTGTTTTGATTACCAAACATTACCAAATCCATAGCCATTAAAGGTGATGGAGGTGGAGGAATAAAATGTTGGTGGTTGTTGGGATATCCTCCTCCATACATTTTTTTAATTTAAAAAAAAAGTAAAAAATATCTACAATAATTATTTAGCAAAAATAAATATTTTTTGATAAAAAATAATTTTTAATTGTAATACTTAACTAAAATATTTCAAAAAAATTATTTTAATTTTTCTAAAAATAAATTTTAATTTTAAATATAAGTCAGAATTATTTCATTTTTTAAATTTAATTTTATGAGACAAGACAGAAATAAAAAATTTTCTTTTTCTTTTAAACATTTTTGAATATTAATCATTAAAAAAGAATATATCTATAAATATGTACATAACATTTTCAGAAAAAATAAATTTATGATTAATTTTATAAAAAAATTTTTTTTAATTTAATGGCAAAAAAGTACTTTTGTTGAATAAATAAAGTGCTTGGTGATTTATATTTTCTTTTAAAAATTTAGAATTTAAAAAAGTAAATATTAAAATAACAATTTTCATAGATGAACATTATATAAATTAAATTATAAGAACGACAAAAGGTTAAACTAAAAAATTAATTTTTAAAATAAATAATATCGAAATTTAAATTTATATTTAAATTAATAATTTATAAATTAGAATATTTTAATTTATCCGTCGTCAAAAAATGATTTTCTTTCAGTGAAATTTTGTGGAAATATTATTTGCAGGAATAAAACAGAGGGATAAAAAAATTGAAAAAAATTTATTTAAATGAAATTAAACAGAATTTAGATTAATAAAAATTGTAGTATTATAATATTTAAAAAAATTTAGATTTAATGAATAATGTAAAGCAATTAACTATTTAATTCCTTAAGTCATGCGCGAGGTTAATTCGAATTAATAGAAGACCCACTAATTCGTATCCTTTGGGGTAGTTGAAGGAGTAATAGCTACAGCTCTTAGTTTAGCTTTACTTAAATACCTAATTTATAAATTTAAAATAATTAGAATTCGACTATTTTATTCTACAAATTTAATAATAATATATTTAATTATTAAATAATTTCATATATCCTTGTCTTTAACCACATTTTTAATTTTAATCTCTTCTTTTTCTTTTTTAAATTCTTGGTTACTTTTTAATACATTGGAGATGTTTTCTTTGTATAATCTACAAAGAAATCTACAATATCAGTAAAATCGCTCGGTTCAATATCCAAAACGTTTTCCGTTTGAATTTGGCTAAAAATAAATTTAAATTAATTTTTAAAAAAATTATAGAAGCTGAAATAAATTATTTTTTCCTTCTTTTAATTTGAAGTTTAAAGAATTTTGTTAAAAATTATTTATTAATCCCCTATAAAATAAAAGATTAATTTAAAATCACCGTTTAATAGCAACAATAGGCCCTTTCCATTCAAGTCCTTTTAAATTTCCTTTTATTTTTTCTACCCAAGGATTTAATTTTGATCCATCTTTACTAAAAGCATCACGATAAACCAAACCAATTACTGCATCCAACTTTAATTTTTTTTAAATATTAAATAAAATAATTATTAAATATTTAGGTAAATAATTGATATTTTTAGTTAAAGCTAGAAATTTTTTGAAAGAAATATCAAAACACTAAGAACTTTGTAATATTTCAGAAATCAGAATTCCTATCAATGTTATCTGTTTAACATAAATCCTTTTTAAATTTGTATAATAGAATAAAAAAATTTTTGAAACATTTAGATTTGCTTTTATTAAATTTGTTCCCCATTTAAAATACTTGTTTTAATAAAAAAAACACTACAATTTTGTCTTTTCGAAGATTTTTTTCAATATAACTATAACCAAATATAGTTTTGCCAAGAATCGTTTCCAATTGTTTTCGATTTACTTTCCATCCTTTAGTATATTGAATTTTTGTAAGGTAAGGTTCTGTTTCTATATTGTCTGGCAAAACAAGAATTAATGCTTCGTCCCCTTTAAAAAATATTTTTTTATTTAATTTTTTTAATTTTTTTGCCTGGTGTTTCTTTAAATCCAATTCCACAAAATATTTTATGTCTTTCCTTGTCTTTAATTAAGCAATCCTCGCTACAATATAGAACTTCTCTACCAACTTTATTGCATTCCTCACATTGAACCTTTGCTTTCTTGTCACAATAAACACATTTTCCTTTATATTATATTTTAATATTATTTTTTATTAAAAAAATAATTGACAAAATTTGGAAAGATCGTGGCATTTTTTGTTTTCGATTCAATTTAAAATAAGCGGAAAGTGTTAACTTTCTTTTTTTTTATTTACAAAACTTTGTGGAAACTAAGAGTTTATGTTTTTGTTTTCATATAAAGAAGGTTAAAGTGGAATTGTATATCAAAAACAAAAAAACGTCGTTACACTGCTTAAAAATTAAAGAATTATTTATATCAATTATTACATGTTACTCTTAATTCTTACTACCCTTATATTCCGAAAACTCGCGGGTTTTTGCAGTAATTCTCCCAAAAGGGGGAATAAAATTTATAAATGAACATTTAGTCAGAACAATTAAATTATTCTACTGATTAAACCTTGAATTCCTCCTTCATCAACATTTTCTTCAACTTCTTTAGCAGTTTTTTCGACATTACTTTGTTCTATGAAATTAATTTCTCATTAAATATCAAAATTAATAATTAAAAATATATTTATTTGAGTAGAAGCGGCCAAACTAATCCCGACAAATAGCAGAAGGTGGATGTTATCTGATAATGAAAGCTTTCCAAATCAAGGTTATTAACCGTTAACCATTATTCCTCGACCGACTGAGAGTTTTAATTTATGCCTTATTTTAAAGGAAACTCCGCCGGCCTTACATTTGTAGTTTTAATAAAACAATTATCTTTTATGTCAATCCCTTTAATAAAACTTTAATAATTTGGCATGAGGTTTTATTTTTTTAATTTCAAAAGATAAATCCAACTAAAAACCTCCTTTTTCATTTGGTTTACGACAATTCTTCTTGTGTTCGGGCCAATCTTTTATTTGACAATTTCTGTCACAATAATATGCAGTATGGCATTTACTACAAGTTAATTTTGCTTCCTTTTGACAATTTTCACATTTAGCTATATTTAAAAATATTTTTATATTAATTATAATTTATATTAAAAATTTAAAAATAAACAAAAAAAATTTATCAAAGTAAAGGTTCTAAAAATTTAAAAATTAATTGAGAATATTTCTAAAGTCAAACTTCGATATAATGACCCCCTTAAGTTAACAATCCTTTCAATATAACAAACTTTTCTAGGTCCCTCAAGTTATTATATCGAGATTCGATTATTCGATCAAATCCCTGATAAAAATAATTAAATTTTGTAAAATTAAATTTTGTGCTCAATAAATAAATTTTTTTAATAATTTTGAATATTCTATAAATATTTTTTTATCATTTTAAATAAATATTTTAATTGTTACCACTCTCAACATTATAAAATTGAAAATTTATTAAGAAGAAAAATATTAAAAAGAAAATTAAATTAAATTTCATTTTTAAAAAATATTTTATTTTAAAATTTAATAAATGAATTAGTTGCCCTAAAAATTACTCTTTAAATATTGCCCCTTAAATTATAGATAGGTTTGTACTTTTTGTCTAGCAAATAAAAATTTAAAAATAAATTTCTCAATAATTTAGAAATATATTTTTGTATTTTTGTCTGATTTTCTTTGATTTAAAGTCCATTGTACTTTTATACATATGCGAAATAAACAAAAATAAAAAAAATATATTTTTATTTTATTTAAAATTAACAAATAGGGCCTCACCAAATATGCCCCAAATATCCAGAAATTCTTAAAATATACACCAGATATGCAAACAAAATTAATTAAATTTTATAAAAAAAAGTTTAATTTAAGCAACAAACAGTTAAATAAATTAATTTTGACGCTCAGAATTACAAGTTAATCAATTTAAGGTAATTATTTTGTTTCCGAAAATTTGACAGTTCAGAAAAAGGTTTCCGAAAAAATTGTTTTTGACAAAAAAAAATCCGACAAAATTTTTTGCTAAAAAATTTTGAAAATTTTAATTTGTAAAAAATTATTTTTAAGCTACAATTCCCCAAAAAATGTTTTATGAGGCCCTAGTAATAAAATGCACTTAATCTCCTAAATTTTACGAATCGCCCGTATACACCACTCTCTTTTATAAGTCGAAAAATCTGTCCAGAGTGGTTACTGTTAGAGGGCTTCTACATATTTTAGTTCAAAATATTTATTAAAATTTACTAGTTTATTTATTTTTATTTATAATTATTTTTCACGTTCTGAATATAAAAAATCCAAATATATTCTTTGTTTTAATAAAAACAGAATTTTTTAAATATATTTTATTATTTTTTATTAAATAAAATTACATAACCATTTAAATATTTCTTAATAATTTTGCAATAGACATATTTTTATATTCTTGTCGGACTTTCTTTGATCAAAGTCTATTGCACTTTTATAAAATTTTAAATAAACAAAAATATTTTTTTATTTCCGACTTGCTCTTTTAGACTTACTCTTTCCGACTTGCTCTTATAGTACACAAAAGGGACCGAAGAGGTAATTTGAGAGTTAAATATTAGTTGGAACCTGCAAAGGACTAATGAGATTTTCTAAGGGATTATTATAGGTAAAGTCGGATCACTTTAATAGAAATCCCACACACATTACCTCCAATCTCTATTCGATCCCTCTCATAATTCAGTTAAGTTCGTTCCCTAGTGGTGATGTTTTAGATAGATTCAATTGTTCATTGAAAGGCTGTAAATACTTCTTTTTCGGTTTAGTAAAATTAATTTATATTTACAGTAGATAATGTCAGTAAATAATTTTGTAAATTTATAAAAATATTAAAATCTTTATTCTTAATTAATTAAAATTAATATTAAATTTACAAAGTTGGTGCAATTTTATTTAAACGACTTAAAACAAATACTCTATATGGCTTATTTGTTAAAATACAAACAACAGGATTAATAACAGGGACTAAATGAATTAAAAAATTAAATAAATATTGTGAATTAAATTGATTTAAATTAAATTCATAATTTATTTTGTTACAATTTGTGTTGTTTGTAGAGCCTAGAAAAACAAAAGAAGATGTTGCAATAAGAATTGTTAGAGGAATAAATGCCTTAAATTAAATTAATTCTTTTAAAAAATATTTTATTTTTTCTTACCAAAATAATTAAAATTTTTGTGATTTGTTTTGTATAATCTTTCAATTGTGAATCAGGAAATGTATGTGAATTAACATATCTAACCATTTTAATTCCAGTGATAATTATAATACAAAAAGGGGTTATTGTAAATATAAATGGTATAATTACAGCAAATAATTTATATAAATTGTTTGTCTGTTAAATTAAAAATAAATTAAATTATAAGTAGATTTTTTAGGTTAGGTTTGAAGATTATGACTAGAGCTGGCTAAAACATACAAACGTAAGTTTTGTATTCGGATATGCCTCGAACTAAGAAGCCCAAAAATTGTGTTGTTACTTTACTCCGGGGCCCCCCTTATATTTTTAATTTCAAACTTCTTTGCATGGATCATTTATTTGAAAAATTGCTGGCAAACTATTTTTAAGTACAGATTGCTGATCATTAACGTAAACAAAATCGGGATATTGTAAATAATATAAAAGATAAATAAAATAAATAAAAACAAGAATCAGAGCTGTAAAGAGCATTAAAGTATAACGAAAATATCCAATTGTTTTGTCACTAAAATGAATATTATTTAATTTTTTTTCAGTTTATTTAAAGGTCTAAATTGAAAATTTTCTAATTTATAAACAAAGATTATTACTAGAATTTGACATTTTAAAAATGCCGGATCCTGTTTCCGTATTTCATACTATTTTATCCGGAAGATTTAAGGGGATAAGGATGGATAGAGTTGTGGTTTGATGGAATTTTTTTATCCGGACCAGAGTTAACGAATCAAAATGCGAAAAATTTTATATTCGGATTCGGACTCGAATTTTCAAAAAATTTTTATTATAAAAATTTAGTTAAAACTATTGACTTAAAACAAGAATTCTTAAGGGATATAGGTGTATTTGGAGGGATATAAGAGGATTTTAAAAGATTAAGATGGATATCGAAAAAATTTGAGGGACTAAGAGGGATATTGATGATTTGGGGGATTAGGGGGGATATAAGGTGATTTGTGGACTCCACAAACACCACAAATCACCTTATATTCACAATTTGGAGTAATCCGGATCGAGGTCCTGCCCGGGTCTAACTTTAATTATTAGTAGTATATACTCCAGTTTTAAAACACTTCTTGAAAATTTTTCCAAAAAGTATTTTAAAACCAGAGTATGAATTTGTTTGTAAAAATTACAGCCTATACCTTTACTAAATTCCTATAAAAATTTTTCGTGTTTTAAATAATATTTTGTCAATTTCGATAGTTTCCTTTTATATATTTTTTCCTAAACAATCTATTCCAGAGTATGATAATTACAAAGTCAAAAAAATATTTCAGTTTTCTATACAAAAAATTTTTCCGTAGGTAATTACAAACTTCTTTTTTCAGCGCGCAAAAGCAATTATTTGAATTAAAAATTTTCACTAATAAAAATTTTGCAAAATAATTTGTTTTATATGAAAAAATTTACAAACTATATTGTAACAAGTTACGTTTTTGAAAGTGTTTAACTTTGTGGCTTAGTACAAGAAAATTTAGAAATAAAAGGCTATAGGAGAAAAATTTGCAAATTTCACAACACAAAATGCCATTTTTAGTAAAATAATGGCGAAATTTTAAATATAAAAAATTGTATACATTCCTTGACAAATGTACGAACAAAGAATTAATTTCTAACAAAAGCATAACTATCTAACCACTCAACCATCTGTATTTATGAACTTAAAAAATATATTTAAAATTTATGAGAAATGCAACAGATAAAATTCGAAAAAATCTAAAGAGATTAATTAAACGATAAACGAGGTTTTCGTGTTATAGAAATTAAATAATATACTAAAGTAAACTAATAATAAAAAGAATTAAAAATGTGAAAGCTAAAAGCATATGGTATTATTAGCAAATAGATTGCACAACAAATAAAAATGGTTAAATTAAACGAACAAAAGTAATTAAAGTTTTTATAAAAAATAATTGCACAAAAATCATTCCTCAATAATGCCCACATAATTGGGCCGAAAAAATCTAATTTGTCCAATATTTGCAATAAAAAACTATTTCGCAATACTTACAATGCACGATGCCCATTTAATTGGGCCAAAAATATTGTGTAACAACCAATCAAAAATGTCAACATAATTGGGGGCCAAAAAACGCACAAAGTACATAATTTGGGCGAAATTTTTGCAAAAGTTTGCCCATTTAATTGGCCAAAATTACTCATAACAACAAAAATGTTCAAAATACAAAAGATTGACGTCAATATAATTGAGAAAAAACAAGTTATTGCAATAGTAATTATCTATTCTAGAAGGTTCTAGAAGCATTTCTGGTGCATATAAAAGAAGCGCGTTTTCGCTTTGCATTTCATTCATAAAATTTATCAACAAGTTCCTATTCCTAAAAGCCTTTTCAACTCTTCCTACTAAATTCATTTAAATTTAATTAAAATATTCATATAATTTTTAAATTTCATATAATTTAGCTTAAATTTTTGTTTCGCTAAGTAATACGAAATGAATTCTAACGCTAAAACAGGTAAAAACTAATAAAAATTATAAAATCGTAATTATTTTTTATTTGTTTAGTCGAAACAATCAATATTGAGGACGACGTGTTTCAAAATAACAGTTCACAAGGTAACTATTTTCATGGTATAAATTTTTAATGATTAAGGTTCTATAACCGCGGAGGAAATTGAGCTATTCCGTGGTTTTATTTCAAAGCAACAAAAAAAGAAAGAGGCATCAGAAAATAGAAGAAGAAAATCAAAGTCAAGTGGTACATCGTCACCAGACAAAACACCAGCAAAAAAGACTAAAACACAGGAGAAGAAAATGATCAAAAATTCTTCTGAGACTTTGGTATACTTATCTATTATTTCTTATATAAATATAATTTGCAGGCAAACGACGGAGAAACAGCAAATGTCCGATAAAGAAAAAAAGGATGATGATGAATTGCATCAGGCTATCCTTAATTACAACGGAGACTTGTCAGAAGAATCTGAAGAAGATAACCCCATGGGATTAAATGAATCGGTAGCTAAAAAAATGCGCATTGAAAGTAATTTTATATTTCGAAATCTTTAAATAAAAACATTTTAGGAAACATTCATAAGAGATTCACTGTCCCTGCGGCGCTGATTGATCGAGCACAGCTTCTTAAGAATGAACGACGAGGGATCTTCGTCTACCAATGCGAATCATGTCGCGAACTACAGAAAAAAAGGGAATATTATCTATTCAGTACGGGAATAGCGGGGCTATCTGTACTGACGATAGAAGTGTGTGCTGAGGATCTTGATAAGAATATCAATTTAGGAATGCATTACTCTGGATACTTTGGTAAGTTGAAAATTTTTAAGAAAATCAAAAATATTTTAGGTCATTCTATTGCTGAAAATCAATCTGGTTCAAAAACTACAATGCTTCATTTTGGTAATCCTATTCTTTACAATATTAATATTTTTATTAAGATGATGATGAGCCCACAATGCAACGAGCTTATTAAAAAACTCGCCAATGATCTATTCATTAAGAAAAATGGCAACATATACGAGCTCAGCTTCATTGTAAGTTTAAAATTTTAACAAATGATAAACTTTAACATTATTTTTCTTAAGGTTTGCTCTCACTGCACAACAGCCAACATCGAGCACCAGCAAAAAACATACGGCACATTGAATAAGAAAAATTAAAAACGAAAATTAAAACAGCTTATTTGCTTAATATTGTTGAATAAAAATTTAAAACAACATAATTTACATTGAATAATCGTTAACCTAACGATCTAAAATTCTTTTATATTTTAAGTAATCAATTTTTACAGAAAAATGTTTTAGTTCCTGCAATATTATCTTCAAAATAGCGGTATTAAAATTTTTTAAATATAAAATAAATATATTAAGATGGATCAACAAATGTATGAACATGTTATTGAAGGTCTTAAAGAAAGCGTTATACGCTTCTCTCGTCAAATAAGCACGCTTGAGTATGTTCGCCAAGATGACAAAATGTTGAAAAATGAACTCTACGATGCTTTTATGCAATTTCATGAAAAACGCTATCCTCTAGCAAAATGTCAAATACATGAATATCTACTTAGGGAGATGAATGCTTTGGCAAAAATTGTATATTTTTTCGTTATTATTTGATTTATTTGTTATTTAAGGCGATTACTGAAGTTGTGAAGGACGAGTTGTATTTTGAGCTTCATAATCCGTTTAGCAAATTTTGGTCTCAAATCGATCTTGAAATGGCAATCAAGATTTTCAATAAACACGCAAGCATTCACGGACCAATTATAAGAGAAGGTTTGCCAAAGAATGTTACAAGTAGTTTATATTTTAGATTCACCAATAATATTCATGAGAGCACACACGGATTCCTGTAGTACTATTAAACCCAACACAGAGGAGAAGGGTGTACAAACTGAAGAATCTTCAGAAGACCGTGTTGCAACTGCCGAAACGGAAAAATTAAATGAATAATAAATTGATACAACATTGGAATATAAAATATACTTTTTCAATAAATATTTAAAATATACATATATTCTTTAAATATATGTTTTAACATTAATATCTAATAATCTAATATTATTTAATTATAGCATTTAGATGAGTCGACATTTTAGAAATTTTGGAGAATATTCTGTTAACCATTTTTATAAAGAAGAGGCATCAGAGATTGTTAACAGCACAAAGTTTAAAATTGGCGTTTACAGGTAAACTCAAAAGTTATACAGAAATTCTGTTTATTTTTAGAAATGTTTTCACGGTTAAAAATATAGAAGATGCACCAGAAGGAAGTGATCAGCTTTTAGAAGATTTAATTGATTACTTCATTGATAAGGCAGATAAGAAAACGGGCGTAAAAGCAGAAAAATGTTCAATAATTATAAGAAGTGCGGTTCTTGAGAAGCCAATTCAAATTCCATACAGGGGTCTAGCTCAAAATACACCGCAAGTAGTTATGGAACAACTAGATTCTGTTGATCAAAGTGGGAAAAGAATGGGAAGGCCATCAATTTACAGTCAACCAATACACATTGAGGTGGCTTTCTATTAAAAATAAAAAATATTTTATTAAGGTTGTGATGGGT